TGCAACAACCGTTGTTCTGATGTCCCATTATGCCATGTATTATTAGAATATTACATAATATATGGTCAAATTGTCATTCTGCAGAATAATAAACCATTCTGTTTGCTGCAGAAAGAGTACTAAAGTCAAAGCTAAGCTAAAGGTGGCTAATGTTGGGCTATAAAGGAACTACAGCACGGTCACATGACTTCACATCACCACCGCTAAGCTAAAGGTGGCTAATGTTGGGCTATAAAGGAACTACAGCACGGTCACATGACTTCACGCCACCACCCGCTAAGCTAAAGGGGGCTAATGTTGGGCTATAAAGGAACTACAGCACGGTCACATGACTTCACGTCACCACCGCTAAGCTAAAGGTGGCTAATGTTGGGCTATAAAGGAACTACAGCACGGGTCACATGACTTCACATCACCACCGCTAAGCTAAAGGTGGCTAATGTTGGGCTATAAAGGAACTACAGCACGGTCACATGACTTCACGTCACCACCGCTAAGCTAAAGGTGGCTAATGTTGGGCTATAAAGGAACTACAGCACGGTCACATGACTTCACGTCACCACCGCTAAGCTAAAGGCGGCTAATGTTGGGCTATAAAGGAACTACAGCACGGTCACAGTTATCGTGCTCTAATAAACTTGTGATTCTTTGTAAAGCAGTAAAATATGAAAACAGAGACGATAGTGGTGAATGTGAATCAGTTTCTCCAGCCGAGGAGTGCTGGCATTTAAAGAGGTTAGCCGGGTCAGACTGTATATAAACAAACACACACACAATATCTTTCCTCCTCTCCTTTCTTTTTTTCGTCTTGTCTCTTGATTCCTCTCCTATTTTTTTAGGTGTGTGTGTGTGTGTGTGTGTGTGTATACGTGTGTGTGTGTGTGTGTGTGTGTGTATACGTGTGTGTGTGTGTATACGTGTGTGTCTGTGTGTGTGTGTGTGTGTGTGTGTGTGTGTATACGTGTGTGTGTGTGTGTGTGTGTGTGTGTCTGTGTGTGTGTGTGTATGTGTGTGTGTGTGTGTGTGTGTGTGGTGTATACGTTTGTGTGTGTGTTATGTGTGTGTGTGTATGTGTGTGTGTGTGTGTGTGTGTATGTGTATGTGTGTGTATGTGTGTGTGTATACGTGTGTGTGTGTGTGTGTGTGTGTGTGTGTGTGCATTCATATTCATTTTACGCTGAAAAGGACCGAGGAATCTGTAATTAGACTCAAACGGGACCATCTCATGCATTCTGTAATTCAGTATCACTCTTAATTATCTCTGACATTATCATCTGTGTGTGTGTGTGTGTGTGTGTGTGTGTGTGTGTGTGTGTGTGTGTGTGTGTGTGTGTGTGTCAGTATGCTGTCTAAAGGGTAGATAAACACACAAACACACACAATAATTATTCATGAGCTGTCACAATGAACTCTCAGCAGCACAACCCAGAAGTAATTGAAGTAACGACACACACACACACACACACACACACACACACACACACACACACACACACACACACACACACCACACACACACACCACACACACACACACACACACACACACACACACACACACACACACACCACACACAACACACACCACACACCACAACACACACACACACACACACCACACACACCACAAAAGGTTATTTATAATCTGAACTTAACTTTACATTCTAAGCTGAAACGTACAGGATCATTTTGAGTGGATAAAAACGGTTTTTACACGTGTTTAATAATTTAAGTTATACTTTAACTTGTTGTATGATTAATTAATCTAAACCACCAGATGCTCTAACCCGATAAATGGATAAATAAATAAACGAGATGTGTGTGTACTCCACAGAGCCTGCAGCTGATGACAGATTTATTTACGTGTGTGTGGCCTGCATATGAACTATAGAAGAAGAAGATGTGATTGGGGGGTGGGGGGTGGGGGGGGGGGGGGGCGGGGGGGGGGGGGGGGGGGGGGGGGGGGGGGGGGCGCCTCAGTGGTTATCTATCTGAATGCTTCATCCCTCATAAAGCTCCTCTGAAATGTGGTTATATAAATAATTAAATAAATAAATAAATGCTTTAATGGATAAATAAATAAAAAGTGTATTAGGCAATAAATATATAAATAAATGACAATAAGAAATATCATAATTAATTAATTAATTAGTGAGTAGTAGTAATTATATAAATTAAATAAAACAAAATAATTAAAAGTATAAGTAAATGAATTAAAACAAATATTAACATGTAAATTATTAAATAAATAAACAAGAAAATTAGGCAATAAATATATAAACACATTGCAATAAAACATATCAACACATTTAAATTATGTGTAAATAAACAAATACAATATTTGTATCCATCAATTATTTAATGAATAAATTGAAAAAATGGAAAATTCTGTAAATTCTGTAAAAGTAAATTAATTAATTAATAAAAAAGGTAATAAATAAATTAAATATATTTTAACAGCTGTCTGTAAACTCACAGAGCCACAGCGCCACTCCGTGGACATCTGCAGAACTGCACCCTGACACTTTACACAGAATCAAGAAAAACTGTTCATTTCTGGATATCATTTATATATCAAATAAAGTGTTGAAAGTTACCCGTCTCTTTTAATAATTGGTATTAACTCCCCAACAAATACAAATAAAAAGGAATAGTGTGTGTGTGTGTGTGTGTGTCTCACCTGTGTGTCCAGGGCCCTTTCTCATTTCACTAATTTCCCCTCCTATCTCCTCGGTTCCCCTCCTTGACTCCTCCGCTCGCATCTCCTGTGGGCGGGACTAAGACACGAGGATAGGAGTCGAGGGGAATTAGAGGAAGGGCCCAGCTGATCATCACCATGTTGTTTTGTATCAGTGTTTCTCCCCGGAGACATGACAGTGTGACACCAACCCTCCCCATTCATTTCCCCAAGAACATTAATGAACGTCTTATATCAACTTAACACAAAAACTAAGGTTTGGTAAATTATTTATTTGTTGTAAAAACGCTTCTTGACAATACATCTCACACCGTTGGAAAGCCTGTTTATTCTCCCTTCAAATGCTCACCTGTCCTCTCTAACACGGAACACTTCAGGGACGGCACTGCAAGCCCCGCCCACACACAGGGACCGAGCTATTAGCATCACGGGTCAATACTTCGTACACACGTCTGAGTGTTTAGCTACCTTAACGTATTTATAAAAGCTCAAATGATTAAGTGCATTCATCCTCTTTTGAGAAAACTAAATAATGCCATATTTTTGCTTTATTCAAATAATGTCACTAAAATAAACACAGAATTAAAGAAGCAACCACCCAGGACTCAAGTGTTCTGAAGTGTTATGTCGAAATATGCAAATGAGGCATTAGGGGACGCTCACTTGAAATCTGCAGACACAAGCAGTTAGTGAAATAAACTCCTGGATGTGCATCAAGATGTTTTCTTTACGACAGTCTGAAAGAAGCCAAGATATATTACAGTTCCCCCGTTCAAGGAAACTTATTTTGTTTTGTGAAGTGTCTTAGAATAAAGTACATTTAAAAAATATCACTTCCAAATTCAGTGCAATCGCCCCTTCAGACGCTGTAGAGTTCAGAAAAAACTGCATCTGATTTTCATCGGTTTTATTTAAAAGTAAAGTAAAATCACCCATTCCTCGTCAGCTCGGGACGTCTCTCGTAAACACATCGGGACGTCTCTCGTGAACACATCGGGACGTCTCTCGTGAACACATCGGGACGTCTCTCGTGAACACATCGAGACGTCTCTCGTGAACACATCGGGACGTCTCTCGTGAACACATCGGGACGTCTCTCGTGAACACATCGGGACGTCTCTCGTGAACACATCGAGACGTCTCTCGTGAACACATCGGGACGTCTCTCGTGAACACATCGGGACGTCTCTCGTGAACACATCGGGACGTCTCTCGTGAACACATCGGGACGTCTCTCGTGAACACATCGGGACGTCTCTCGTGAACATATCGAGACGTCTCTCGTGAACACATCGGGACGTCTCTCATGAACACATCGGCACGTTTAGGGACAGACTTTAAAACATGAACCTCTCCTTTGAGTGGGGGATATTTAATGTTGGTACTACCTCTTTAAAAAGGGACAACCAAACCTACAGTGAGCATGAAAACTCACCCGAGCGTCATGGCAACAGTTTGCTCCTTCCTGGAAGAGGTGGAGAAAACATTGACCTTTTTTCTAGAGGTGGTGGAGAAAAAATTGGTGTCCTTTCTGGACGTGGGGGGGGGGGAAACCTCTCTCAGTCTACCCATTGGAACTTCAGTATTTTAAAACATGTGAACCTCTCCTTATATATATATATATATATATATATATATATTGTGTAATATAACTGCCGTCTTAAAGACACACTTCACCAAATCTGCAGAGAGCATGTGAACCGGTGCGAGCATTACATAAAAAGCCACATTTAAAGACCCTAAGAGACCCTTAGAGACCTTTAAAGAGCCTTAAAGATCCTTAGAGACCCTTAGAGAGCCTTAAAGATACTTAGAGACCTTTAAAGATCCTTAGAAACCTTTAAGGAGCCTTAAATACCCTTAGAGACCCTTGAAGACCCTTAAACACCCTCAGAGACCCTTAAAGAGCCTAAGAGACCCTTAGAGACCCTTAAAGAGCCTAAGAGACCCTTAGAGACCGTTATAGATCCTTAAAGATCCTTAAAGACCCTTAAACACCCTTAAACACCCTCAGAGACCCTTAAAGCGCCTAAGAGACCCTTAGAGACCCTTAAAGAGCCTAAGAGACCCTTAGAGACCTTTATAGATCCTTAAAGACCCTTAAAGACCCTTGGAGACCTTTGAAGAGCCTTGAAGAGCCTTAAAGACCCTTAGAGACCCTTAAAGACCCTTTTAAAGACCCTCAAAGACTCTCAGACTCCTGCGCATCACTGGTACTGATCATACGAGTTCTTTTTGTATGTTTGTGCGGGCTGACGAGACGTTTGGGAGCAAACCAGTCCCCCTCAGACTCCTTACTCTCGTTAGTCCAGTTTGCAGAGTAACGAGGGAGGGAGGGGGGAGCTCTGCGTCTGTCCTCCTGGAGGGGGGGGGGAGCTCTGCGTCTGTCCTCCTGGAGGGGGGGGGGAGCTCTGCGTCTGTCCTCCTGGAGGGGGGGGGGGAGCTCTGCGTCTGTCCACCTGGAGGGGGGGGGGAGCTCTGCGTCTGTCCTCCTGGAGGGGGGGGGGAGCTCTGCGTCTGTCTCCTGGAGGGGGGGGGGGAGCTCTGCGTCTGTCCACCTGGAGGGGGGGGGGAGCTCTGCGTCTGTCCACCTGGAGGGGGGGGGCTGGTGGAGGACATCTGGACCTCCTGTCTGCGCGGGGGGGAGAAAACCTACACAAAGAATAATGAAAATGTTTTAAATAAATGATCAAAAACAAAGAAACTGAGTTGAATACAATTAAAATTAAAGCTGCAAGCAGCGTTGAGCGGGTCTTCGACGCTCCGCAGGCTGTTGTCCGCACGTCGACGTCAGGCAGATGTCTCGAGGACTCGGCCGTTGGCAAACGTGGGAAGTTTCAGGCCGACGGGACAATGTATTTAGGAGTTACAGCAGTATCATAAACATTGTGTTTGATGGCGAGTGATCTGTCGCCATGGCAACGGAATTTGATGACACCCCATAATACGCCTAGATGTGTTGAGGGCTACATCGTTATCAAACCTGTGAAGTTTTGGGCCGTTTGGAGCATGTTAACTGGAGTTATGAGAAAAACCTGTTTCACGGCGACCATTTTGTTACCATAGCAACGACATTTGACGAAATCTCAAAACTGACACATATGTGTCGAGGGCTTGACGGTTAGCACACATTGGACATTTGAACACTTTTTTACCATTTACACAGGAGTTATAGCAATATCGTGCTTAACGGCGAGGGATGCGTTGCCATGGCAACAGCTTTTGAGGAAAACTCACTATTGTCATATTGAGGTGTTGAGGGCCGGACCATTAACTCTCATCTGAAGTCTGGTGCAGTTTGGACCATTTTCCATCGAGTTACAGCGACACCGTGTTTCATGGCGAGGGATCTGTCGCCATGGCAACGGCATATGATGACATCCCATAATTGGCGTAGAGCTGTTCAGGGCAGGACCATTAGCCATCATCTGATGTCTGGTGCCGTTTGGAACCTTTTCCATTGAGTTAAGACAACATTGTGTTTTATGGCGAGGGATGCGTTGCCATGGAAACGGCATACGGTGAGATCTCAGATTTCACGTAGAGCTGTTGAGGCATGGACCGGTGATATAAAAGTGAAAATTGGGGGACGATGGGACCGTGTCCATTGGAGTTACAGCGACACCGTGTTTTATGGCAAGGGATGCGTTGCCATGGTAACGCCATATTAAGTAACATCACATTTGACGTAGAGCTGTTCAGGGCCGCAGTGTTAACCATCATGTGAAGTTTGGTGGCGTTCTGAGTATGTCAGTTGGTGTTATGACATCATCGTGTTCCATGGCGAGGGATCGCCTAGCATCAAGCGAACGCGAACTTTGCCGCAAAATAACGGCTACGCCGTGCGAAAGAAAAAGACTTCCGTGATAACTTTGAATTGCCCATGTCTCGAGACGCTACGGATAAAGTCCCTGGGAGAAGATAGATTTTGTGCGGAGGACAAATCGCGTTTTTCCGACGCCAAATTCAAAATGGCCGGCTTCCTGTACGTTATTTTATACCCCTCCAAGAGGCTTTTTTGTTCGTCTCCGCACCCTAGATATGCGTAGCGAGTTTCGTTCGTTTACGTGAAAGTTAAAGTGGGGGGAATTTACGTTAAAAACGGAAGTGGGCGTGGCCTACGTAATTTTTTACGCAAAGTTCCGGAACCAATTACATATCGCAAGTTGCACCACTTCTGACGCGCGTGCAAGATTTGGTGAGTTTTCACATATGTTGCGGGGGTCAAAGGTTTATCGGTCGCTGTGCGACCGATTTCAATAGGGTCTTCGCCGACCTAGGTCTCAGACCCTAATTATATAATATAAAGAATTAAATAAATACAAATAAATAAATAATATAAATATAAAAAGCAGAGAGCATGTAAACCGGTCCGAGCAACACACAAACAGCCACATTGAATTCATAATGTCCTATTTAGAGACCCTAAGAGACCCTTATGGCGCATTTCCACTGCAGGGCCTGGCACGGCTTAGTACGGTATAGCTAGGCCTTGGTAGGCCAGGCTCACTTTATGCTGCGTCTCCATTACAGTTTAGGAACTGGGGCAGTAACTATAGTAACGCAGTGTAGGCGGAGCCGTGACGTGATCTTCAATGAGAACCACAAAACCAACATCAGCCGTTAGCTGTTAGCACTCAGAGCTCACAGCTCCTCATATCTGTTCAGAAACTAGACAGAAGTTAAACAAGTATGTCATGTGTGTCATACCATGTGTCATGGTGAATACAGTCGCTGCTTTATTTATGTCTGTAGGCCGTTGTTGTGAGTGTGGACGGTCGGAGCATACACTGCGTTAGCTTAGCCAATCTCCATTCAGAAAACACGCATTTTAAAAGGTGTGTCGCCTGCCGTCTGTCTGCAGACTTGACAAAGCATTAATTCATGGTTTTTACTAACCGGTATCAGTATGTTGTTACTTCATCATTTAGAAACGTGTATTACAATTAAATCACGGTCAAATATGTCCATCTTGTTGTAGTTGTAGCCCCCTTGCCAGCGATTCTCTCTCTAGTTTAGCATACTCAGCCCGACTCAGCCCGGTTGTTGGCCCCGATAGAACCACGATTTTGTCGGGCCAGAAAAGAGCCCTCAGGGCTCTGTCCTCGGTCCCCTCCTCTTCTCCTTGTACACAAACTCGCTCAGATCTGTCATTAGCCCGCATGGTTTTTCATACCACTGCTACGCTGACGACACCCAATTCATTCTGTCCTTTCCCCGCTCAGAGACCCAGGTCGTCGCACGCATCTCTGCTTGTCTAGCAGACATCTCTCAGTGGATGTCTGCTCACCACCTCAAGCTCAACCTTGACAAGACTCAACTGCTTTTCCTTCCGGGAAAAGAGTGTCCCACTTTTGACTAACAATCAACATCGGCCCCTCTGTTGTTTCCCCGACTCAGACTGCAAGGCATCTGGGTGTGACCCTAGATAACAACCTGTCCTTCACTGCAAGCATCGCTGCTACAACCCGCTGCTGCAGATACACTCTTTACAGCAGTTGTTCTCATCTGGTCCGGCCTCGTGACCCACTTTTTCCTTTGTCAATAAATCGCAACCCGAAATTTTGAACCACTCAAATCTATTCAACAAAAAATGGTGCTGTAATATATACGCTTTTCAGCATACATTATTAATGAAAGTGAAGTACAGTGCATACATCCCTTCACAGAACTGAAGAATACTTTTAAATAAGGTTTAATGACATGATGGACTCAAAGCTGAACTGTGTTTATAGGAGAATTTTTGAAATACTAACATATAAACTACGCATTCTGATAGGATAGGAAATAAATACATCTATTACTACCCGACATATTAATAATATTTTATGCCATTGTTTGTTTTTCACTTAGTTCTGACAGCTTGCTGCTCCACACAGAGAGAAGAGCAAAGAGGAGAGAGTCTGTGTGCATTACTTTGTGGGTAAGGGTAGATAGCCCCCATTGTTCTGTGACCTCTGACCTGTCAATCATCAAACCGGGGGTCATATTTCATCATGTGTTCATTTGTATCTGAAGTTGTACCCATGGATGTATAAAGAATAGTTCTACTGCAAAGTTATTCTCCGTGGGGACTTCCAGCAACCATCTTGATTCTGATTGGCCAGAAGACTCGAAAGAACATCAGCAAAGATGTTTCATTGAGAAGATGATCACTACGTGACAGAAGCTTTCAAAAACCGTTTATGGTCTCCGGTACTTCCAGTCCAACGCCGACTGCATGCACAGCGTTAGAACATCGGGCCTTCAAAAGAAAATGTTGACTTTTTTCCCAAAAAAAAAAAAAAAATAATAATAATAATTCTATTTGTTTTTCTTCACTCACTTCAGCGACCCGTTCGAAACAGATCGCGACCCGTTCGAAACAGGTCGCGACCCGTTCGAAACAGGTCGCGACCCGTTCGAAACAGATCGCGACCCGTTCGAAACAGCTCACGACCCGTTCGAAACAGGTCACGACCCGTTCGAAACAGGTCACGACCCGTTCGAAACAGGTCACGACCCGTTCGAAACAGGTCACGACCCACCAGTTTGAGAACCACTGCTTTACAACATCAGGAGGATACGTCCCCTCCTGACCCAGAAAGCCACACATCTTCTGGTCCAGGCTCTCGTCATCTCACGCCTAGACTACTGCATCTCCCTCCTGGCTGGTCTACCTGCATGTGCCATCCCACCTCTGCAGCTCATCCAGAATGCAGCGGCTCGTCTGGTCTTCAACCTTCCTAAATGTTCCCACACCACCCCGCTCCTCCGCTCCCTTCACTGGCTTCCAGTAACTGCTAGAATCCACTTCAAGACACTGGTACTTGCGTACCATGCTGTGAATGGATCTGGCCCTTCCTACATCCAGGACATGGTTAAACTGTACACCCCAGCACGTGCACTCCGCTCTGCATCGGCCAAACGGCTCGCTGCACCCTCACTGCGAGGGGGACCCAAGTTCCCATCAGCAGAAACACGTGGGTTTGCTATCCTGGCTCCAACATGGTGGAATGAGCTCCCCATTGACATCAGGACAGCAGAAAGCCTACACATCTTCCAGAGCAGACTGAAGACTCATCTCTTTCCACTCCACTTCGAGCAATAGAAGCACTTATATACTTATGGCGCGTTTCCACTACAGCGCGCAGCCCGGTTTAAGAGGGCTGTGACGTCAGCGGCCCGTCTTTGGTTGCGTTTCCACTTGGCCTAGTACCGGCCGGCGGGTCCTAATTCACAGTTTTTCTGGCCTCATAAAATCGTGGGTCTAGGGCCAGAGACAACGAGGCTGAGTCGGGCTGAGTATGCTAAACTAGAGAGAGCATCGCTGGCAAGGGGGCAACAACTACAACAAGATGGACATATTTGACCGTGATTTAATTGTAATACACGTTTCTAAATGATGAAGTAACAACATACTGATACCGGTTAGTAAAAACCATGAATTAATGCTTTGTCAAGTCTGCAGACAGACGGCAGGAGAAACACCTTTTAAAATGCGTGTTGTCTAAATGGAGATTGGCTAAGCTAACGTTGTATATGCTCCGACCGTCCACACTCACAACAACGGCCTACAGACATAAATAAAGCAGCGACTGTACTCGCCATGACACAGGCAGTCTGTGGTTTGTACTTGTTTAACTTTTGTCTAGTTTCTGAACAGATATGAGGAGCTGTGAGCTCTGAGTGCTAACAGCTAACGGCTGTGTTGTTTTTCTGGGGTTCTCTGAAGATGACGTCACGGCTCCGCCTACACTGCGTTACTATAGATACTGCCCCAGTTCCTAAACTGTAATGGAAATGCGCCATAAAGTGAGCCAGGCCTAACGAGGCCCAGCCATACCGAGCGGGGCCGAGCGAGGCCGTGTAGTGGAAACGCGCCATAACAAAGCACTTATATGCTAACAAAGGACTGGCTTATCTAAAGCTAGTTGAGTAGCACTTGAAATGTTTTGGCTCTATGAAACCTGATGTACTTATGGCGCATTTCCACTACACGGTCGGCCTCGGCCACGCTCGGTACGGCTCGGTACGGCTTGGCCGCGTTGGGCCTTAACAGGGCCGACTCACTTCATGCTGCGCTTCCATTACAGTTTAGGAACTGGGGTAGTTACTATAGTAACGCAGTGTAGGCGGAGCCGTGACGTCATCTTCAATGAGAACCCCAGAAAACCAACACAGCCGTTAGCTGTTAGCACTCAGAGCTCACAGCTCCTCATATCTGTTCAGAAACTAGACAGAAGTGAAACAAGTACAAACCACAGACTGCCTGTGTCATGGTGAATACAGTCGCTGCTTTATTTATGTCTGTATAGGCCGTTGTTGTGAGTGTGGACGGTCGGAGCATATACTGCGTTAGCTTAGCCGATCTCCATTTAGAAAACACGCATTTTAAAAGGTGTTTCTCCTGCCGTCTGTCTGCAGACTTGACAAAGCATTAATTCATGGTTTTTACTAACCGGTATCAGTATGTTGTTACTTCATCATTTTGAAACGTGTATTACAATTAAATCACGGTCAAATATGTCCATCTTGTTGTAGTTGTAGCCCCCTTGCCAGCGATTCTCTCTCTAGTTTAGCATACTCAGCCCGACTCAGCCCTGTTTGTTGGCCCCGATAGAACCACAATTTTCTCGGGACAGAAAAGAGGTGAAAAAGTGGCCCCGGGCCGGGCCGTAACTGGGCCTAGTGGAAGCACAACCAAAAACGGGTACGGCACGACACGGCACGCTTAAAGCGAGCTCCGCGCTGTAGTGGAAATGCGCCATTAGAGACCCTTAAAGACCCTTCAATACCCTTAAAGACCTTTAGAGACTTTTAAAGAAATTTAGCGACCCTTAGAGACCCTTAAAGACCCTTGTAGAGATTTTTTTTTAAATAAATAATAAAAAACAAAGAAAATTTGATAAATAAAATAAATTAATAAATAAAACATTATTATGAAATATACAAAATAAATAAATACAAATAAAATAAATAATATTAAATATAAAAAAGCAAAGAAAACATTAATAAAAGATAAAACATTTATAAAATAACAATCAAAAAGAAATGATGGTAAAAATACAATAATAATAATAAATAAAATAATCTGTGTTTTATGGTAGAAGATATAAAAATAAATATTTGTTTTAATGACCATGTCACTAGATCTGACAGATATGAAGCTGAAATATTTGTTTTGTTTTTATACAGCACCTGCATTTTCTCCTGTTATTGTGTTGTGTGGGGAAATCAATAAATAAAAAATGTAATAAATAATAAAAAAACTAAGAAAGTGGGATAATTAAATAAAATAATAAATAAAATAATATACCAAATTAAATAAATAATATAAAAATTGCTTTTTTATATTATTTATTTCATTTGGTATATTATTTTATATTATTATAGACAATATTAATAAAATAAAAAATAATAACAAACAATTATAAATTATAGTAAAAATACAGTAATAATAATAATAATAATGAAACCGACCTCCTATCCTGGCGCGGTGGAGAGAACCTGGGTCTCCTCCACTGGTCTTCAGGCGGGGGGGCGGTCCGTCGATACTGGTTGAAATGTTCTCCGTGGGGTTGAGGGTTAGGAAGAAGGCCGTTTTGTGGATGTGAGCGATGGCTCGTTGCTCTGGGAGGAAAATATCTGCAGGAGAGGATATTTAAAGGAAGATAATTATAAGGGTCCTTTTGTAACGTCTTAAAACTTTCCTTAGAATATTTTATGAATTGTAAGATGTCCTTGCTTTGAAAAGCGCATCTGAATAGAATGAATTATAATAAGAGGACCCCTATTTTTCAACACACACCACACACACACACACACCACACACACACACACACCACACACACACACACACACACACACACACACACACACACACACACACACACACACACACACACACACCCACACACAACCCACACCCACACACACACACACACACACACACACACAACACAACACACACACACACACACACACACACACACACATACACACACACCACACACACACACAACACACACACAACACACACACACCACACACACAACCACACACACACCACACACACACACAACACACACACCACACACACACACACACCACACACACCCTTTATCCTCCCCCCTCCGTCAGGTGGAGAATGTAATTGATGTGGTTTAACTGGCGTGTGTTTGATATCTTATCCTGTGTGTGTGTGTGTGTGCGTGTGCGTGTGCGTGTGCGTGTGCGTGTGCGTGTGCGTGTGCGTGTGCGTGTGCGTGTGCGTGTGCGTGTGCGTGTGCGTGTGCGTGTGTGTGTGTGTGTGTGTGTGTGTTGAATTGCATCAGTCCGGTCTGATTTCTTCTCAGTAATTGAATTATTGCAGCAGTGCTGAAACACGCAAATCACTCCAATCTAAACCCAGCTCCTCCCGGTTAACCTCTCCGTGTTTCGCAGGCGGAGGTCATTCGATCCGCTGCTCCTCTGAAACACAGACGGCTCTCAAAAGGTTCCAAGATATACCGAAAACCCTCGAGTGTTTTAACGTCTGAGGGGATTTCACTCAGAGAGGCAATGAACGTGGAGTCATTTCACACTTCTTCTGCGTCCCATCCTGTTTTCACTTCTAAAATGATGTGTCGCTCTGATTTGATTTGATTATTTCCAGAGATGGGTACAGAGGCTTAAATTGGTGCTGGTTTCTGATTGCTCCTTTGGCGCCATCTAGTGGTGTGACTGTGTAATTACATCAAACATATAGAATATAATGTTTTTTTAAACCTGTCTTGTATTCGGGTCAATACGGTAATTATTAAAGTAGTGTTCTACCTGTGTTGATGGGATTCTCTGCTAGGCGGCCATCTCTCCTCTCTTGACTCAGAGATGATGTCACTCGGCCGATGTGAAGCGAGGCCTCTGATTGGCTCCTGCTCCGACTCATCCATCCCATCATTACTGTTTAAAACACAAAGCACAGATCAACGACTGCACTGAATGATGATCAATGGGAGAGGCTTTATTATTAACTTCAGAAACATCTCATCCATGAGGATACATTTAAATCACACTGCGGCTGTTATAAACAAATGGATATATAAATAGCATTAAAACTAAATGTATGAATAGAAAACAAAACAATGAAAGAAAAAAAGAAAAACAAATAGAATTTAATTTAAAAAATACATTTAAAGAAAAATTAAAAAGAAAGAAAAATAAATTAATAGAATAAAATAGAAAAAGACAAGTAAATGGAAAAAACTCTAATAAAACTAATAAAAAAAAAAAAAAAATTATTTTTGTGGATCTGGTTCTTATATTTATTTTACAATTGTTGGTATTATTTCATGTGAGTGTGATAAGATTGACTTTAAGAAGCAAATGTGTTTTATATCACACTGGGTGTTTCTCAATGTCGAGGAAGGATGCTCCAGAGCCACTATTTCAAGGAAGCTACGTCATCGAGTCCCGCCGAAGGACTGTTCCAATGCCAGGAAGGATTCTTGCCTAGCCTCTGGGTGTGTCTCAATGTCGAGGACGCTTCCTTGGTGGGATAAGTCCCTCCGAGTCAGGTCCTTCAGAGGCTAGGCAAGAATCCTTCCTGGCATTCGGAGAACGAAGAATGGAACAGTCTAGCAAGTGTGCAGGTGTGCGTCATATGAGAGGCCCCGCCTTAAATGTTCCGCCAAAGATTTGGGAAATTGGTCCCACCAAGGAAGCGTCCTCGACATTGAGAAACACCTGCAATGTCTGCAAAATATGTCAATCTTTAAAAAGGACCGGTTCTTGTGCAAAGTGCAAAGTGCAAAGTGCAAAGTGCAGAGTGCAAAGTGCAAAGTGCAAAGTGCAAAGTGCAAAGTGCAAAGCATAAAGTCTGGAAGCATTTGAACATGAATCACCTCCTCTTGGGTCCTCTCTGCAGGTCCTGCAGGTAGTTCTGCCTCTCCACCGCGTGACCTCGAGACGAGTTGAACACTGACAGAAGTAAACATGAGTCAATGACATGAAAAATAATAACATTACATAAATACGTTAAATTTAAAATATATTATCAATATAGTTGAACACAAGAGAAGTAAAGATGAGGATATGAGATGATATTACAATTAAAATAAAATTAATTAATTAATTAATTAAATTAAATAAAAAAATATTATCAAATGGATAAATAGAGAAAAGAAAATTAATACAAAGAGAAAATATGAAATATTAGGAAAAAAATTAATTGTTTATTTCTCAGATTTCTATGAAATTAAGTCAAAATTCGGACTTTATTTTCTGAATTCTTTGATTTTCAATTAAAACTGAATTCTGAGAAAAAAGGCAAAATTATGAAAAAAACGATTTGTTCTCAGAATTTTGAGAAAAAAGAAATTGTGGAATTCTTAGATTTTAAGAGAAATGAAGAGGAAAAAAGTAAAAATGCAAAAAAAAAAAAAAAAAAAACATATTTTTATGGATTTCTTAGATTTTCTGAAACTGAAAGTCAAAATTCTGAGAAAAATAAAAAAATTAATTTTCTGAAAATAAACAGAATTATTCATTTCTCAGAATTCTAAGAAATAAAATATATTCTGAGAAAAATAAATAATTCTGACTTTTCTAATCTAAACCCTGAGGAATTCTGAAGAAAAGTTCATTCAGTTTTTCAGAAAAAACATATTATTTATTTCTCAGAAAGAAAAGTCACATTTTGAAAAACCTCAAATTCCAGATTTCTTTTGGGGGAATTCTAAGATTTCCAGAAGAAATGAAATTGTTTATTTTTCATTATTTCTCATAATTCTGAGAGAAAGAGGAAAAATCTGCAACAAAAAATAAAGAAATTCAAATACGTAAAAAAAAACGTAACATTTATTTCAAACGTCAAGATTTTGAGAAAAGTCCAAATTCTGACTTTTTTCAGAAAAATACATTATTATTTATTTCGTTGTAAATTCAGAGAAAAAATTAAAAAATTGTAAGAAAATATGAGAAAATCTGAAAAAAGAGTAAATAAATACAATTAAATAAAAAGATAAATCTAATGAAGAGACATCAGTACTCACAGTCCACGGCCTCTTTAGGATCCATCCCATCGACATCGATCAGATACCTGCAGCAGAACAGGTGTTCAGACACAGCTCAAACACCTCCCCCGGTCAAACAAACGCTCCCACATTACCCCGATACTCAGATCTCTTCACTGGCTCCCTGTAGCTTATCGGATCTAGGCCTGTCACGATAATTAATTTTGTTGGACGATACATTTTCCTGGAAATTATTGCGATAAACGATAATCCATCCATATATCTATCGATAGATAGATAGATAGATAGATAGATAGAGAGAGAGAGAGAGAGAGAGAGAGAGAGAGAGAGAGAGAGAGCTCTGTTTTCCAGCCTGAGTCTATTTAATTTATTGTTTTGGTTTGGGTTTGATTTATTTATTATAATTGTATTAATTTGTTTTATTTATTATATATCATTTATATATTTTAATATTATTTCACATTTCATTTGCAATGTTGAATGTTGAATAAAAAGTTATGTAATGTTAATGTGCTACATATCCACACAAACAAACAAAGTGTGCAATCCAATGAATGTTAATCTAACTGGGTTTTGATAGACAACATATCTCTTTTTCTTCTCTCAATTATTATGTTTTCGAGCAAGGAACACCAACATGTTTGCATTGTCGGGCAAATGCATGTTTGATTGCAAACTGTCGGGAAGGTGGGGGCTCTCCATCTCCAGCTGCCGTGTTTGCTCCTGGGAAAACGGGATGGGGTGGTTGTGTTTTAGGTGTAGTTTAAAATACGTGGTATTGCTGGCTTTTGTCGCTACCTTTTTTAAACAAATGCGACACACCGCCCGGCTCATACAAGTCCGTAGGCTCGCCTCGTTGATTTGGCTTGAATCCAAAATACTGCCACACCGGAGAATCGAGATGTGTAGTTAGGTTTTGTAACCAATTCCATTTCACTTTAAATTCCCCGCGAGTCACACGTTGTCTCCCGCTTGTCGCTATTTTATTAATTTGGCTGCTGCACGTGCACACGGAGTGTCCTGACCTGGCTGTGTGTCTGCCCCGCCCCTCACAGCGCACGTGGCCGGCAGCCACAGCGCTCCTGGCTAAAATGCTGGTCACATCGTCATGTAAACGGCAATTTATCGAGCTCAGAAAAGTTATCGATTCCATTTTGATTTATCGTACGATAAGTCAATTTATCGATTATCGCGACAGGCCTAATCGGATCCAGTTCAAAATCCTGACTCTCACCTACAGAGCACTGTGCGGTCAGACTCCTGCATGGGGCCGACCTAATCCATCCATACACCAGCCAGTCAGACTCCTGCATGTGGCCGACCTAATCCATCCATACACCAGCCAGTCAGACTCCTGCATGTGGCCGACCTAATCCATCCATACACCAGCCAGTCAGACTCCTGCATGTGGCCGACCTAATCCATCCATACACCAGCCAGTCAGACTCCTGCATGTGGCTGACCTAATCCATCCGTACACCAGCCCGCCCACTCAGGTCACACATGCTCAGTCTACTGTCTGTCCCCCGTACCCACCTTCAGACCCGCGGTGATCGAGCGTTCGAGGCCGTGGCTCCTAAGCTATGGAACGCTCTGCCCGCTCATCTACGGTCTGCTGACTCCTTTAAAACTAATTTAAAGACGTTCCTGTGTGGGCGGGCGTTTGGGTAACCGCTGTGCTCGATTTTATTCCATTTAATACTTTGACTTTATTTAGTTTTCATTGTGTTTTTATGACTTCTTAACGCGTGGCTTGTTTGGTCATTTAACATTGTAATAATAATAGCTTGCATTTATATAGCGCCTTTCAAGGTGACCCAAGGTCGCTTTACAAGTAATAGTAAAGCGACCGTGGGTCATCATGTACGATTCCTATGATGATGGTTTATTGTTTTATTAAGCACTTTGTGACTTTGTCTGTGAAAAGCACTTTATAAACTTGACTTACTTTAGACTTACTTACTTACACCACATCACAAACACAATCTAACCAAGGAAAACAGAATCAGAGAAAATAATGTTTTTACTTTTTTCATATTTCGGATAAATTAACATTTCTGTATTTTTATTATTATCATCTTTTATCACATTTAAAAAATGGCTTTAATAATCAAAATGCTCAACATTATTTCTCTGTATTCATTCCCTTGGAACTGAGCAATCTGTTTAGTTCATATCTATAGTATTCATAAGATGATGATGTCCCACCTGCAGATGAGGTACCCGGTGCGGTTCAGCCCGTGCGTGCAGTGCACTCCCACCAGCTTCTCTGCAACACAACACACACACATGGAAATGTTGTTTCTCTCCTTTAATTATTTTTCTTATTTAATTCCTTTGCGGTTAAACAACAGAAAAACATTCAATTCAAGCCTTTTAGAAATCATATAAAAGTATTTTGAGGAACCGTCAGAGCGTCCTGGATATCTGCAGTAACATGTGTTTCTCCTGAGAAGTGAAGCCGCTCTGAGGACAAACTTTGCTCACTGACGCAGAGGCTGTGAGAGAACATTTGACATGGGGGGGGAAAAGGGGGGTCAAGAGGTCATGCAGGGTGGCAAAGGGGGGTCAAGAGGTCATGCAGGGTGGCATGGGGGGTCAAGAGGTCATGCAGGGTGCCATGGGGGGTTAAGAGGTCATGCAGGGTGGCATGGGGGGTTAAGAGGTCATGCAGGGTGCCATGGGGGGGCCGACAGTACGTGGTATTTTATACTGTATAACCTATTTATTGTTAAGTCATGGCCTAACACAAGTGTTCTTGACGCACAAGAGAAACCAGGTGTTCAGAGAAACTAACTAACATATATATAAAACAGCAGAAAGTACTCATGATACCTAGAACTCTGTGTACTGTGAGTACAGTCAGTAAGTACTTAGTTATAATGAAGTACACAGATGACATCACCAGTGGCGTCGCCTGGCCTGGGCATTCGGGGCTTTAGCCGCCAGTGATGTGAGGCGTATAAATAATAAAGTCTGTACTGAACTCCACGTTTTAAAGATATTTCATATTGTAAATCAAAACAATAAAAAAACAGAATCATACCGCCAACCAATCAGAGCTAAGCTCACCCCATGGTCATGCTACCAAACACCAGCTGCCCTAAACACCATCACTGTGACACTCAGCAGAGCAGCCCATTACCAGTGTGTGTGCCTTTAAATCACGTTTTCTGACATGTCCGTCCCTGACTAACGTTCATCACCAGCGTCTCACCGTTGTTGGCGTTTTCTCGCAGAAATGTTCGTACGGCGCGTTTGAAGCTCAGGATCGTGTCGTCGCCGGGAACCTCGTGACCTGCCGTGAAGATTTTTACAAACAAAAGAGACTCCGGGACGTCCTGCACACACAGATTATTATTATTATTATAATTATTATTATGTTCAGGTGTATATCAGTATGTAGTGTCTCTACTTTAAAGAGTCCTCTCCTGCTGATGTTCAGGTGTATATCAGTATGTAGTGTCTCTACTTTAAAGAGTCCTCTCCTGCTGATGTTCAGGTGTATATCAGTATGTAGTGTCTCTACTTTAAAGAGTCCTCTCCTGCTGATGTTCAGGTGTATATCAGTATGTAGTGTCTCTACTTTAAAGAGTCCTCTCCTGCTGATGTTCAGGTGTATATCAGTATGTAGTGTCTCTACTTTAAAGAGTCCTCTCCTGCTGATGTTCAGGTGTATATCAGTAGTGTCTCTACTTTAAATAGTCCTCTCCTGCTGATGTTCAGGTGTATATCAGTATGTAGTGTCTCTACTTTAAAGAGTCCTCTCCTGCTGATGTTCAGGTGTATATCAGTATGTAGTGTCTCTACTTTAAAGAGTCCTCTCCTGCTGATGTTCAGGTGTATATCAGTATGTAGTGTCTCTACTTTAAAGAGTCCTCTCCTGCTGATGTTCAGGTGTATATCAGTATGTAGTGTCTCTACTTTAAAGAGTCCTCTCCTGCTGATGTTCAGGTGTATATCAGTATGTAGTGTCTCTACTTTAAAGAGTCCTCTCCTGCTGATGTTCAGGTGTATATCAGTATGTAGTGTCTCTACTTTAAAGAGTCCTCTCCTGCTGATGTTCAGGTGTATATCAGTATGTAGTGTCTCTACTTTAAAGAGTCCTCTCCTGATGATGTTCAGGTGTATATCAGTATGTAGTGTCTCTACTTTAAAGAGTTCTCTCCTGCTGATGTTCAGGTGTATATCAGTATATAGTGTCTCTACTTTAAAGAGTCCTCTCCTGCTGATGTTCAGGTGTGTATCAGTATGTAGTGTCTCTACTTTAAAGAGTGACGGTGATACCTGTATGGAGTAGTATCTGGTGGTGAAGGTCAGGTCGATGATGAGACCCAGGTCCAGCCTCTGCTTCTGAACAGACTCCAGGAGCTCCCAGAGCCCGAACACCTCGGAGCTCTGCAGCTGACGGTTCAACGCCTGGGGGGGGGCAGACAGTTAAATCTGCATTCCCACAAACAAATAAAATGTTCTGTGAGTTAAGTGCTGACCTGCTTCAGAGGCACTTTGAAGGCGATGAAACGCGTCCCGGGAAGCTTCCTCCCCACAGATTTATAATCCAGCCATCTGAAGGAGAGAGGACACATCAGAACATCAGACATCTACCAAGTACTCAGATCTTGTAAAAGTAGAAGTACTCAGATCTTGTACTTGAGTAAAAGTGGAAGTACTCAGATCTTGTACTTGAGTAAAAGTAGAAGTACTCAGATCTTGTACTTGAGTAAAAGTAGAAGTACTCAGATCTTGTACTTGAGTAAAAGTGGAAGTACTCAGATCTTGTACTTGAGTAAAAGTAGAAGTACTCAGATCTTGTACTTGAGTAAAAGTAGAAGTACTCAGATCTTGTACTTGAGTAAAAGTGGAAGTACTCAGATCTTGTACTTGAGTAAAAGTAGAAGTACTCAGATCTTGTTCTTGAGTAAAAGTGGAAGTACTCAGATCTTGTACTTGAGTAAAAGTAGAAGTACGCAGGTCTTGTACTTGAGTAAAAGTAGAAGTACTCAGATCTTGTACTTGAGTAAAAGTGGAAGTACTCAGATATTGTACTTGAGTAAAAGTAGAAGTACTCAGATATTGTACTTGAGTAAAAGTACTCAGATCTTGTACTTGAGTAAAAGTAGAAGTACTCAGATCTTGTACTTGAGTAAAAGTGGAAGTACTCAGATCTTGTACTTGAGTAAAAGTAGAAGTACGCAGGTCTTGTACTTGAGTAAAAGTAGAAGTACTCAGATCTTGTACTTGAGTAAAAGTGGAAGTACTCAGATATTGTACTTGAGTAAAAGTAGAAGTACTCAGATATTGTACTTGAGTAAAAGTACTCAGATCTTGTACTTGAGTAAAAGTAGAAGTACTCAGATCTTGTACTTGAGTAAAAGTGGAAGTACTCAGATCTTGTACTTGAGTAAAAGTAGAAGTACGCAGGTCTTGTACTTGAGTAAAAGTGGAAGTACTCAGATCTTGTACTTGAGTAAAAGTAGAAGTACTCAGATCTTGTACTTGAGTAAAAGTAGAAGTACTCAGATCTTGTACTTGAGTAAAAGTAGAAGTACTCAGATCTTGTACTTGAGTAAAAGTAGAAGTACTCAGATCTTGTACTTGAGTAAAAGTGGAAGTACTCAGATCTTGTTCTTGAGTAAAAGTAGAAGTACTCAGGTCTTGTACTTGAGTAAAAGTAGAAGGACTCAGATCTTGTACTTGAGTAAAAGTAGAAGTACTCAGGTCTTGTACTTGAGTAAAAGTAGAAGTACCAGAGTGTAGGAATACTCTGTTTCAGTAAAAGTCCTGCATTCAAAATGTTCCTCAAGTGAAAGTAGAAAAGTATTCTCATCAAAATATAGTGAAAGTAGCGACAGTAAAAGTAGTCATTGTGCAGATTGGTCCATTTCAGAATAATATATATGATATGTTTTATAATGATTGATCATGAAAGTGTTCTCAAAGCTGGTAAAGGTGCAGCTAGTTTGAATGACTTTGTATACTGCAGGGTAGCTTGTGGATTTACTCCAGGTGGAACTAAAGTCTGATTTAACACTTGATTATATTTCACATCATTCATCCACATCTGTGAAGTAACTAAAGGTATTAAATACATGTAGTGGAGGAAAAGTACACCATGTACCTCTGAACTGTAGAGGAGTAGAAGTACACAGTAGCAGGTAATCTAAACAGTCAGGTAAAGTACAAGTACCTCAGAGTTATACTTAGGTACTGAGTGAATGTACTGAGTTTCGTTAACCCTCGTAATCTCGCTCACCTGTCCGGGATCCCGTTCCTCTTCTTGGACATTTTAAACCTCTTTAAAACGTCCCCACGTGTTTGATCCGTGTTCCTCTTCAGGCGGGATGCTTATTAAATATCCCCGAGGTGCACTCACTGACCAAGAGGACGGGAAACGTATCTTTGGTTATTTTAAAACTTTATTTTAATAAAAATCCCATTTTTTAAAAAGCCTGTTGTTGTAGCTGCTGGTTGCAGTCGCGGGTGGATGACGTATTTACTCTTCTTCGATGGTTATTATTATGGATGTGGCATTACTGCCCTCTGCTGGCCGGAGGATACAACCACGTTTAAAATGTAATACAACTGAAGGACATACAGGTTTTTTCAGTTGCTATTAACACACTAAAATGCAGACTAAGCACTTTCCTTTCCTCCGTTTTTTGTTAAAATATTTTCATTTTCCTCAAAGTTTTCCTTTCCATTCACTGTGTTTGACAGACACATCATTTTGTTTACACAACTGTAACTATGTGTTGCTCATGAATGTTGCACCGATTAGTTTTGGAGGAAAATAAAAGAATAACAACAG